GGAGACAAGCAATAGAAAGTATATAGTAGTCATTTTTGCTTTCTTAGGGCCTCAGCCAAATCCCAATCCTGTTTACTTCAAAGAGCATGGGATCAGGCTCGCACTCAACATAATTAGAAAGATAGGATTTAAAGTATGCTGAAAGGTGGGTTTTATTCTGTCAACTGTATTATAAAGAGCTGTCAAAAGTGGGAGGGGGCAGAAGATTAGAGCCTATATTCTGCTTCTATAATAAAGACAAGCTATGAGATTTTGGCTATTTCCTAGACTTAAAGGTGACCTGCAAAGGAAAAAAAATGGTTTTGTGCCCCCTTTTATTCTTTATAATGTATAAAGAAGGCTTGATTTCCACCCCTTCCTCACCCCCCAAAAGCAAACCTCTGGGTTTGTCCTACTTGTTTATTACATTTGAAGTTCAGATCCTGTCTAACCTGGAAGGTTCTACGATGGCTAAAGAGTTAGTGAAATGATGGCCTTCCAGGACTTGAGCGCAGTTGAGAGGGGAAGGGATTTTTAGTCATACTGTTTAAAACTGTTTGATTTTTGTGAACACCTTCTTCACTTACTATTAAACATTCTGGAGGAAAGGTGTCACTCAACACCTTCACTCCTTCAATAATGTATCAGAGGTAACAATATGCTGTGAGACCCCCAGGATGTCCTCCAGGAGATTGTAGTATGACAAGACAACATTCCTGTTAGTTCCAAAGTAACGCAAAACAAAACAAACCACACCCTCAAAAGACTAAGTAGCAAAAATTCAAACGAACAAAAAATCTTATGGGTTCAAAATCAGTTTTTTTAAAAAAATTCACAGATCATCTTTAAGAAACATGAGGAAGCCTAGAAATTTATTGGATATGGATGTGGTTGGTGGAATCAAATGAAAAGAACTTTCTGACATTGCACAAAGCTCTCCAGCCAAAGGCCAGGCAACAAAATTACTACACCTCTACCCCGATATAACGCTGTCCTCGGGAGCCAAAAAATCTTACCGCGTTATAGGTGAAACCTCATTATATCGAACTTGCTTTGATCCGCCGGAGTGCGCAGCCCCGCCCCACTCGGAGCGCTGCTTTACCGCGTTTTATCCAAATTCGTGTTATATCGGGTCACATTATATCGGGGTAGAGGTGTATAACCACTAGGAAATGGAACACCAACTCACTTCAGATAAGATGCTGTAGAGTCATCCAATGGTAGCAATGTTTGGTCACTATCAAGTGGAGCTAGATTCAGACTAGTGTTCTAGAGTTGATGGCTCTGGAAACAGAACCCGACAAGTTCCTTACTGTGGGTTTTCTCAGGCCTAGGACGTGATGATATAATCAACCAAAGCAATGGGGCAGGATTGATCATTGAAAGAAGTTTTGGATGAATGAATGAATAAAATAATCTTGAGCTAGTAATTGCTATTCTGGGCAGAAAACGGAACAAAACTGCAGCATGTTTAACAATCTAGAAAGTGGCATTGATGGCATCAGGCTTCAGATTGTGCCCACACACACAAAACTGCATGAAAAAGTCTGGTCATGTACTACACACATGCTCCTGCAGTTGAAGGGATCATTGCCATGTAGTTTTGGCCCAAGCTTTATTTTTTGTTAAAGGTTTTATAAAAGCTAATAATAGAAATAGCTTCCTGAAATGTAAACCAAATAAAATTAACACCAGACTATTCAGATATAAACATCCCTTTGTGTGTCTGCAACTAGATCTGAGTAATTAATACATAATTTGTGCTGAATTGAGCCTCAAATGTTTGTGAGCCTTTTGCAATTTTCTTAAATGTATTTGTTTAAAATTATTTGCGTACATGAATTATTATTGATCTTAAGATTGTTCACTTGCAGTTTGTTGTATTTGAAATCCAAAATGTGATGTGTTGGTTAGTTATGATTGAACGTGTTGGTCATGTGGTATTTTTCCATACTCAGGTTGGCTGAGCATAACTCTTAGATCAAATTTTGAGTGTGATTGCTTGTGTTTATACATAGAATTATAGAAATCATAGGAAGGGACCTTGTGAGGTCATCAAGCCCAGTCCCCTGTGCAGAGGCAGGAGCAAGTAAACCTAGACCATCCCTGATAGTTTTTTTTTCCCAACCTGTTCTTGAAAACTCCAATGATTTTCAGACCTTATTTGTGAATGTTTTCTGATCTCTGCTTTAAACTCTTTGTTCCTATGAGCATTCCTGCCAGGAAACTCCATCACTAAAATAGTAATGGAAAGTGAATACGAAGAGATGTGAATATAGGCACAATTTTGAATTCACTGTTTTTTATTTGAGGGAATGTTTGCGGGAAAACGTTTTGAGCTACCTGCAAAGCAGCATTGTGTTGATAATAAACAAAACCGACTAGTTTAGTTTTAGTCAATAAACTGAGAAGTGCAGAAAGACAACAAACTGCTTAATTGACAAATAGCTTGAAGTCTGATCACCCTTTCCTGTAGAAATACCCATGGGAAGAGTCTTTGCCAAACTGTTCTGGGAATACTAGATACATAAATAAACATACATAAATAAGGATTTGTCCTCTGTCCCTGAACCCACAGAGCCCCAGAATCTTCAGGAGGCCAGGGGTATCTATGTGGATGTTTCTGCACCAGCTATGAAGCACTTGCCATCTTCTAACTCCCAATCTGTGTGGCTCCTCTTGCACTGTTTTGCCAGCACTTCCTCTTCCTGGAGTCTCCCTCAAGAGGATGGAGTGGGGGCCACAAACCAACTACATCTTTTTTTGGATAACACTTTTCAGGTGCCAAGTAGGTCTTTGGGGGAGGAAAGTAATGCACAAACTCCCTGTCCCATCCTGTCTTCCTCCAGCTTTCTGCTTCAGCAGTCCCAGGTCCAAATATTGGAGAGGGCGTTCCCTATGCACATTTATTTCAAGGAAGTGACCAGACTCTAGGGTTTTGAAATGTTTTTAGAATGTTAAATGTTGTCAGTGCACAGGTAAGGAGGTAGTTTTGTGTGTGTCATATTATTTTAACTAGGTGTTGCTCCTTTAAAGATGACAAAGTGATGAATAACAGAATAGAGCACTCCAAATCGGATGTGGTTAAGGTGTAATAGTCTCCCTCAAAAGCTTGCTTGCTGATCTTTCACATTTGAAAGCAGTAAGACATGACTCTTGTGCACGTGAGCAGGCATCCTTCTCAGCCTGAGCCAGGTTGTAATCAGAGATGTGCTCCAAGAGAAGGCCTCCACACTTGTATGGCCTGCACGAGGGTCAGTCACAGTAGCAGTTCCTGCTTGCTGCTTACTCTCCCTGGCAAACAAATTGCCTGAGAGGGGGTAGCAAGGAGGCAGGGCCATGCCCTACCCTCTGCACAAGCCCATGAAGTAGCGTATGTGCTGCTGGGGAGCTCCAGAAGAGAATATATTACTTGAGACATATCCTCTCTTGGTGTTCCCTCAGGCGGTGGACTCTCTTCTGTGCCCTACACACGACTGTGTGTAAATCACACAATCTAGCCTTATATGTTGTAAAAGGAATCCAAGATACCAGAAGAGCCCCTTCAAAGAAATCTGAGTGCAGAAGGACTATTAATATTGATACTAATATACAAGATGAGAAAACTTGAGTTGCAGCAAGGAAAATAAAAGGACTGACCAAATTTTCTTTCTCCCAGTTTGAATCTGGACAGTCAAGCCCCAGGAATAACTCTTAACATTCTAGAAAGCTTCTGATGTTACGTAGTGAATCTTGTTGCCTCTGTGCTCTTTCCAGCTAAGCTTTGGGTAAAGCACATCAGCAGAATCTACAGCTATTTGTTTTAGGAAACCAATTCAGCTGAGAAATTGCTGGAGAAAGATGAGATGCTGTCTCAGCAGGTGCCTCTGGTATACACACTGAACTGTCTGACCTAAACATCTTTCTCATGTTCATACACCACAGTGAGACTTTTTATTAGCTGGGTTCCACTCTTGCAACTCTTATACTAGTTCATGTGGGTAGTCCCACAGACTTCAGTGGGGCTAGCTGCAGGATTGGGCCCTTAGTATATCATTGTTACTATTATGTCTACAGGGCCGTTGTTGTGCATAGTGTTTACTGACAAGTAGAGGGCCAGGCACGTGGCTCTGCACTACCACCTACATCTGTGCAAAGGGGGTGGGGGGTAAATGCTGCCAAAGAGTCAGACTTCCTCACTGACACTCACTTTTTCCAGGTGTAAGTGGCTGCACAAGGTGCAAGGCAGTGGAGTATCCAGTCCACACACCTGCCCTGAGTTGTTTGCAGTCTAGGTGAGGTAAGAAGTGACCCAACATAAGGAAAGGAACATCAAGGAAAAGGGAGTGGGAATACGTTGTAAGGAATGTGCTTAGAATTCTTGAGTGAGCAGTATGACTAAAAGGAAAATAGCACATTTGTTGTAATTACAGTGAGGTTCTCACATAACTGTCTTTTGGGGGGAAGAACATTGGTAGACATTTTAATTTTACTCAACCAACCAAAACGTGTTTCCACTTTTCCCTCCCCAAATATAACAATGTAATATATTCCTATCATATCAGGAGTGATTGGTGTGGATTTCTGGGGATGTTGCTGTTTAAAACCATACAGGTTTGTTCACTATAGTTTCTAGAGGTTTGGAGAATCTATTTCTTATCATCTTGTCTGTTCTCTATCCTCGGTCATTGTGGAGGTGGTTCTGCTGCTCTCTCTCTCCTTTTGAATTGCTACTTCTGTTGAATTATTTCTGTTTTCAGCCCAGCATAATAAGGGCCAAATCCTGCTCCCCTTACTTCTAAACATGAGTACAGCAAGCGGGATTTGACCTATATACAGTTAATGTCAAAATGTTCTAAAGCTGTTGCTTTCACATATCACTTCAGAAGTGGAAGAATTATCTGTCCTCCTAAAGCTAACCAAAATAAGATAATTGGATTGTGCACTTGCAGAATATCTGAAAGAAAATGACTCACCTATTAGATAACAGTATTCATTTTATTTGTGTAACACTGCAATGTTTTTTGTTCATCTATCAATAGGATCCTTACTATAGGTTTAATGACCTGACCTACAGATGGATCTCCTTGGATAACTGGACTTACAGCAGGATATTCAAAACCCCTTTTGATGTCAGGTACGCAATAAGAATAGTTTTATGTTCTCTTCCATGCAGAAATGCTTGTTATTAAGCAGTCAGCCCCAAATCCACCTATTACTTTCAGATGTAATAAACCAAATTCTGTAATGGGATATAAGCTTCAAGCAGCCTGTTGCTAAATGTCACTTAGTGGATTTCTTTTTTTTTCCTTCAAGATTTTTTTTCCCATTGTCAAAAAATGGTGTACAAATTGCCAACTGCTGAAGTGTAATAATAAAGCTGATAGGAAGCAAGCAGCCACACATCTGATATCTATTGAACATGGGATGTTGTGCTGTATTGCGAGTCTGATCCATGTCAGCTGTCATTTTAATTTGAAATGATAAAGATGGCTACACCGAGGAAAGTATTTTTGTAACCCATTGAAACAGCTGCTATTCAGGATACTGGGGACATAGATTTCAGTATTGATTCTCTCATGTGTAGTTAATTCAAAGTACCCTAATAATTTTACATTCCTGTGTTATCATTCATAGCAAATGGCAGAAAGTGAATTTGGTTTTCGAGGGAGTAGATACAGTAGCGCAAATCCTGATCAATAATGTCACTGTTGGGAGAACGGACAACATGTTCAACAGATATGTGAGTAATGCTGGTATTTCTAAAGGCAATTCTACAGTTGTCTCAAAGCACTTTTCTGCCAAGCAGTTCGTACCTAGACAAGTACACAGTAATACCCCCAATGTGTTCAGTCCAGAGTAAAATGTAATGGACTAGACTTGATAATATGTCATGGGGTTTGAAATGTCTTTATCTGAGAACCATACAGAAAGCCACCTCAGTGCTGGAAAGGGGAGGTGCATTGGCTTCCCAGTGGGAGCAGGATCAGGCCTAGAGAAGAACATTTCATGTTGTAATCTAGAAGAAGTATGGCAAGAGGAACAGTTTACCTAATAATATAAGTCTTGCTTCTTGGGAACTGCCACAGCTCTAAGAAAACTGAAGCTGAAATTAGTTATATTAGCTGGAAATCTGCTTACTAATTGGTATTCGAATGCTGCTGCTTTACATGTGAATGCTGAAGTGTAAATGCATGCAGTGTAAAGCTTACTTATAAATGTTTGTATGCAGTTTCTTTCTTTAGTTCTTTCATTCTAATATAGTATCTAATTCCCAGGCCTTTTGATGCCATTGTGTTGTCTCTTTGGTCCTAGTCTGTATCAGTATGACAAGATCAGGTACTGAATAGTCACAGTCCCACTTTAGGATTGCCATAATCATACAAAATAATTTTGTAGATTTCAATTATAAGATTGTGCTGGGTGCTATACAAAAACTTAGTAAAATACAGTCCCTGCTCCAAAGAGCTTACAGTATAAATAGACAAAAGAGACAAAGACTGTGAGAAAGGAAAGCCCATATCCATTTTATAGATGGAAAACTGAGCCACACAGAGATCCTTAGTTTCTTCATGTCTCAACATTTTACCTTCATGGCTTTAGAGAAAAGAGGGTCTTATGGCTGAGGCACAGACCTGCAGACTCAGGAGATCTGGATTCTGTTCTTGGCTTTTCCCCAGACCTGCATGACCTGGAACAAATCAAATAGCCTTTTTGTGCCTCGGTTCCCCACCTGTGACATAGGAATATTAATTCTTCTCGCTTTCACAGGTTTATTGTGAAGTTTTAGTTAATGTTGGAAGGTGTCAAAACAGTTTACAGATGGAAGATGCTGTAGAATTGCAACATATTATTATTCAGTATTTATTTCTGGATCTTCATTTTGATAGGCCACTAGTAGCATCTGCTTTGTGAAGTGACTGCGTAAAGTAGAATTGAACAGACTAGGACAGAGCCAAGGATTGCAAGACTTTGACAGTTACTCTATTCAGTGGCTCCATTTGTAAAACACTTTAGTGGTAAATCTATTCTGTGGAGGCTGCTTATGTTGTAATTTGTTGTGTGGTGGTCTGCTGCCTGATCAAGGACAGTGGCTACTGATTGTGGAGAGGGGCAGGGGCACTTCCGCTTGGTAGAAATTCAGGAACAAATAGCAGGCATGCCACAAACTAATAGTGTGGAGAAAACACTAATAACCAATTGAAATCTTAGTTTTACCAGGTGAAATTAAATTAGGGGTGGGTATACTGGTGCGAGGAGAAGAGTTTTAAAACTAAATATGTACCTTTCTGTCCATCCACAAATAGAGGACAGTCTAACACCATGGTGGGCAAACTTTTTGGCCTGAGGGCCGCACTTGGGTATGGAAATTGTATGGCGGGCCATGAATGCTCACAAAATTGGGGGTTGGGGGGCAAGAGAGCTCCGGCTGGGGGTGCGGGCTTTGGGGTGGGGCTGAGGATGAGGGGTTGGGAATGCAGGAGGGTGCTCTGGACTGGGACCAAGGGATTTGGAGGGCAGGGGGGGATCAGGGCTGGGGCTGGGGCGTGGGAGAAGGTCGGGGGGCAGGCTCCAGGCAGCGATTACCTCAAGCAGCTCCCAGAAACAATGGCATGTCCCTCCTCCGGCTCCTATGCTGCCCCTGCAGCTCCCATTGGCTGCGGTTCCCGGCCAATGGGAGCTGCGGGGGCAGCGCTTGGGGCAAGGGCGGAGTGCAGAGCCCCCTGGCTGCCCCTATGCGTAGGAGCCAGAGGGGGGACATGCCATTGCTTCTAGGAGCCGCGCGGATTGGGGCACGCTCCTGATCCCGCTCTCCAACGGGAGCTTGAGGGCCGGATTAAAACGCCTGGAGGGCCAGATGTGCCCCCCAGGCCATAGTTTGCCCACCCCTGGTCTAACAGGTTAATAAATAAGTCCTACAGAGAGTTCTTTGCTCAGTGCAGAGATGCTAGTGTATCTATACTTTAGAGACGGGAGTGGAGGGATGGGGAACCATACTATGCCTTGGCAGCAGAGGATTGTATAAGGTGCAGCTCGGTACTCAGTTTACCTAAGATCAGGCTCTGAAGCTCACCCACTCCCTCCCCCCCCCCCAACTGCTTCACAGCCCAAGCTACAGCTTCAAAGTGTTGTCTGCATAGCTATTTTTAGAGTGCTAGTGTGAGCCTGCTAGCTCAAATCTGTCAACCTGGGCTGGGAGGCTCACTTCTGCAGGCTGTATAGACATACCCATAGACTCCCATTGATTGCAATGGGGCCTAGGGATTTGCCCAGAAAGAGTTACATGTAGGACTTAGTGTGCCTTTTTTCTTAGTTTGAGAAGTATTCTAATTTTCTTTTCCTCCAGTCCTGCAACCTGTAAAGACTAGTTCACAAACATATTCAAATAATATCTATATAGTCTAAAAGGAATATCTTTATAAAGCTCACAGCTAAACTTCAGTGGTATACCCTTTTGTTTTTGTTTTTTCCTGGTGCAGAGCTTTGATATTACCAGTGTGATCAAGGAGGTCAATTTTATTGAGGTCCGTTTCTTATCAGCCATTTCATATGCAGCAGAGCAGAGCAGATCTCACAGAGCATACAGGGTGCCTCCACAGTGCCCTCCACCTGTGCAGAAAGGGGAGTGCCATGTTAATTTCATCAGAAAGGTAAGAGCAAGATCATGTGTGTATGTGACTAGAGGCTTGGATGCAGGATTGCACAATGTACTGTCATAATAAATGCATTCTGAAACCTCTGGTGTAATTTCATAACTAGGGCATATTTTTCATAGCAAAAAATCCCATCATCCAAAATATAGATGTAATCTGTAAGAAGCATAAAAAGGCTAGGGTAGCTATATGTGTGACAAGAATTTTTAAAAGGTTATCTTTGTCAAGATGTCAGCAAGCAGACTGACAGCCAGAAGGGTGTTTCTGTGGGGGGCAGATTGTGTAGTCACTATCAATCTATCCGCTGGGTGAGTTTAGCAAGGAATAATGACAATAGTTAGCTGTTCTGAGTGCCAGAGTTTATTGCCAAGGCTGTGGAAAATCTCAGCCAAGCAGCTTTGTCAGTGTTTGCCATTGCTCATGTGCTGTGCTATTTATACTGTGCAGCTCTGGCATGTACCGACAAGAGTTATCTAACGGAGAGCCCACTTTCATCTTAAGAAGTTGTGAAGTGTGATATATATATATATATAAGTTAAAATTACAGACTAGCACAAAACTACCAAAGATGGGAAACTGTAAGTCTTTAGTTCACGCTGTTATAACTACCTGTGGCAGAATATCTTCTGTGTAGGATCTCGCGTTGTTCTGAAAGAGCCTTGCAGTAACAAGGCACAATTGGGAAAATAACGAGTTTCAGAATTGCCTTTCTTTTGTTGGTCTGTCACAGTTTAAATGCCTTCCCTGCTAAGTGACCCCTGTATTCTCAACAGAGAACTACAGATCCTCCATTTTCAATTACCTCAAACACCATGCCCAGAATCCTTTTGACCTATGACTGAATGTAATTCCTCTGGAACCTGTCAACAGAGGGCTTGGTGCCTTGTTCTCCAAAGCACTCCATTCCCTTCTCTTCTTGGGGCCGAGGAAGACATTTGCCTTCACAACCATTACAATCCCTACGGATTGCAATTAGAACTATAGCAGAACTAAGCATTAATCTCTGAGCCCATCCTGATTATCCTTGCTTTGGTTTAATTTGATACCTAAGTGGGGAGAAGTATGGGGGGTTCACTTTTATTATGAAGGTTAATTAAAACTTGGAGAGTTGTTTAATCCTGCAGAGTCCATATGTTGTTTCCACTATGTTTGTTAGAAATCAGTCCGGAGGGGAAGGAGCTTGAACAGCTGTAGTCCTATTTATAGAGGTGAAATTGCTAGGAATTATTTTTATACTTTGCTGGGCTATATATTTAAACTCGTAAGACTTGTGGAAAGTACCTTTAGTGATTTTATCCTCAAAGGAATTGCATTACTGTACTTGCAGATTGCTTGGAATGTTTCCTAAAACGGCTTTCATTTCAAACATATGGGTATAACAGCAGAGCTGCCACATTTGAAAGTAAATAAACACAACATTTTTAAAGTTCGTTTGAGTCTTACCATTGTAAAGTAATGGAACACTATGTATATGTGTATGAGGTTCAGTATTAAGAATGTTAAACTCATCTTAATCTTCATGGGAGTCTTGCGGCCTAATCACCCCAAGCCCACACTGAAAATGTACCTTTTAATACTTCGAGATGAGCATATTGCTCTGGTGGCTTTTTACAATAGCTGGTGAAAATATAAGGGATTATATTAATGAACCTTGACGGTTTATCAGTGATACAGTTTTTAAAAAGAAAAAGACTATTCCCAGTCAGGACTGTTTTCTAAGAACTGGTTGTCCCTGCTGTTAAATTTGAAATTGGTTCATTGCTTTCTTCCTAGAAGAAGCTTTTGCAACTTGATAGACACGCAAGCTGACTCCTGTGATGCAGGGAATAGGCTTGACTAACACACTGTTGCTTGCCAAAATTAGTATGCTTCAGCTGTAAATTATTGGTCTCTAAATTTAGAGCGGTAGGTCACTGTACAAGACTTTAACAAGATCTATTGTATTTGCACGAGGGGGAGGACGTTGTGGAGCTTGGAGGTCAGCTCAATAGATGTCTTAAAGGGATGCTGTTGACTAAAAATCGAGTCCATTTTTAAAAATAAATTGAAGGTAGTTTCAGGTGCTATGCTTGGCCATGAGTATTTAATTCTGCCAATTTGTGTAGTCACAATGACATTTTCCTATTTTTTAAACATGTTTTTTGTTGTTGTTTTTTTGTCTTCCTGTTGCTGTATGAAAGAACCGTGCAAACAAAAGGGAGAAAGAGTGAACCTGTTATACACAAAATGCACCAAACAAACACACTGAATTTCTAATCTCTTTCAGTTACACTAGTCTGTGTTACTGGTAACAATAGTAGACATAACATTTACATGCTCCTGTGATATTTGGTTGATAGTATCCCTTTAAATTATTGTAAACACCTTTATCCATCAATGTGCTATTCCTTTCCTTGTCTCTTACATTTAAAATTAAGGGTTGACTTTAAGACTGTGGATAAGTCAGAACTGTTTTGATAGTAACTGCTGGTTTGCTGCTATTGAATTTTTTGGTGTTTTTTTGTTTGTTTGTTTGTTTGTTTAAGGGAGGAGATAGGTGTGCTTTTGCTCTCCCACTGATTTTGTATGGTTTTGACTCTCAGCAGATTTTAGCCAAAGAGTAAGGAAAAGATACTCCACTCTATATGCATCCGAAGAAGTGGGCAGTAGCCCACGAAAGCTTATGCTCTAATAAATTTGTTAGTCTCTAAGGTGCCACAAGTACTCCTGTTCTTTTTGCGGATACAGACTAACACGGCTGCTACTCTGAAAAGATACTGTATGTTCTTCCTGAGTAATTGGAAATTGGAGAACCTTTTATTTGGTTTATAGGAATATTTTATTTAGATACAGTAGATAATTTTTATAAAGAGTCTGTTTATTGTCTGGAACAATAATAGTCCCTATGTGAAAAATACATACTTGTGATACATCTTTCTGTATTCCAGGAACAATCTTCGTTCAGTTGGGACTGGGGTCCCTCTTTTCCCACTCAAGGAATTTGGAAAGATGTTAGAATTGAAGCCTATAACCTTTGTCACCTGATCTACTTCACTTCAACCCCCAGCTATGGTAAGTCATGATGATATTGCCCTTTATTCTTGTTTCACTTGAGAAATACAGCTGTCTTATTCTAAGTTCAGTTACTTAGTAAATTGGAATAGGAACATAAGAACTGTTTTTTGTTGTTTGTATGGACAGTGCTGAGTACAATGGAGTCCAGATCTCATTACTGAAGTATAAATAATAATGGTAAAATTATTAAAAGTCCAGAATGCAAACTCTGTATTGCATAAAGAGACCAGCAGTGCATCAAAAAATGTGTGTTAGGTTTATAATAGTGATTTATCTCTGTCCTGTTCTGTTGCTTTAGAGCATTACTTTTGCATCAGCTTGTCTGTTCACTTAAACTTCCCATATAAATTGCTCTCTTCTCTCCCCTGACTCTTACACTTTCATTTAAAAAAACCCAAACAGATAGTGCTGCTGTTTGAGCAGTAGTTCTGTCTTGAGTTGACAAGTGCAGTGTCAGCACAGTTTCAACAGTGCTGAAATTTCAGGGCTCATGGAAGAGACTGGAACAGAAAAGCAACTATGATGTGCAAGGATTGTTTTTCTCAAGCTGCAATTTGAGAGGACTTCCCATTGCATGTTTGCCACCTAACCGGTTTCCTTGCCTGGCTCTGCCATTTGTTTTTCTTTCATTTGTATTGAAGATTGTGGAAGCTGAACAAAATTAGTTTATTTTCTGTTTCAACTGTCTGCAAGTGTAATGCATGCCTGTAGAGACCACCCACACTACCCTCCGCTCCACGCAAGACACACTTAACGTAGGGCGGGTGGGTAGTGTGCGTCCCTCTTCACTGGGCTGAATTTCATGCTTTACGAAGAAAGATGTTGTGTCTAAATGGAAGGGGAAGACGTCACTTCCCTGGATGCTTTTATAGCTTCCAAAAATAGCTCCAGCTCTCAGCCAGAATTAACGTAGTTGAAATTTCAATGGAAAGCCTCAGCATAGACTCAGTACAGCTTCTGGGAAGTTCAGATATGTAAGTGCTGCCTGGTTCCTCCCACATCCTCACAACTCCATCTGCTGGCAGCCAAGGGATGGCTTGTTGGATAAGGCAGCAGGGCCCTCTCATTCGGCAGATAAAGCTTTTGGAGTCCAACCTGGAGACCGAGCTCATTAAAATTAAGAGACTGAAATTTGAAAGAATAAACAATGAATCGGCAACTTGTGCTGTGTTGAAACAGCGCAGGCACTTGTGTTGCTTGCCAGATTGTTTAGTCATAGCCTCCTGACCACTGGATCCCTAAAGGAGCCCTTGTTCCCCTTTTTTTCCATCTAGTGCCAGGAGTTCAGGAATGACTTGGCCTCTCATGCCAGGGAAAGGGAGTGGGAAAAATGCATCTGAAAGTTGATGGTTTTGACCTTTATGTAGTGTCTCTAACCTTGATTTTCCCCACCCACGGCTCTCATTGACTTCAATGTGAATTTTGGGTGCTCAGCACTTCTGAAAATCATGCCCTCTGTGCAGGCGTGATGTCAGCTTTGGGCCAAATTCATCCCAGTGAATTCTCTTAAGCCAGTGAAGTTACACCAGGGATGAATTTTGTTTGGAGAGAAACTGCTTTCTCTTTTATCCCAAATCAAAATGGAGATACTACAACTTAACTATCAGAAGGAAGTAGATCTATGATACACACAGAGAGGAAATTGGCAGTTAACAATGGAGATTAAACAAAAGGGTTTTATAGTCCTGTTTTTCAGTGGTTCTTGCATTGTTATATTATTGTACAGGCAGAATGACCAGTGGAAAAAACACAAGCAGGAAAAATGATTAGACCAGTGAAAATTTTCTTGTAATAATAATAAAAAAAATACGAAGTCTCCCCTGTTTTGTTTGCCTTTGTGCATGCACAGTATTCAGTTGTGTTTTGCCAATATCTTTCTTACAAGAAGAAGGATAAGAAATACAGGGCCACAGCTGAGACTACTACAGGAACACTACCAGGTACCTCCATTTGCCATCACTAGACTCTGCTGACCCACACCCACTCCAAGAGGGATGACCCCTGTGAGGAAGTGGGGGAATACACACGTACACACACACGTACGCATGTCCTTAACAGGAGTCCAAAGAGCTGCATAGATGTTCATGGGTTAAACTTGAGAACCCCACCCCCAAGAAGCATATTCAGCTGGTTTATGCAAAGTAAAGGGTTAGCCAGCCTTTGGGTATACATAGTTTAATTACAAAGTTAACACATTAATAGAAAGTTTCAGCAAACATTAGTTGGAGGTACCCCTTTCACCAGATTACCTTGTTAATGAATCATTCTTTAAGCAAGAGAACACTTTGGCATAAGTGCAGAGAGATAGCAGACAAGTAGTCATTAGCATGTTTCCTCTAACACGCTTCAGTGACAAAAGAGAAACAAACATACGGACCCATCAGGTTTAGACACAGTGGGTCCAATTCATCCCCAGCATAACTCAGTTCATTTTATCTAGTGACATGGGGGGTAGGGTTGCCAGGTATCTGGTTGTCTACCAGAAAGTCCGGTTGAAGCGGGACCTGTACAGTGTCCAATCATATGTACCAGACACCAAAAGTCTGGGTGCTGCGGGCGAGGGTCGGATGCTGGGTCATCAACCTGCACCAGCCCCTGCTCAGTCAGGGCCACCACCTACCTATGTCTCATGGGCAAGCAAACTTTACATCAGGGGCTGCAGCCCCAGAGCAGAGGGAGCACAGCTGAGGGCGGGAGGGAGGTGGAGAGGATCAAGCAAGAAGGAAAGGGAGATCATTGGCCTTGAGGGAAGAGGCAGAGTAGGGGCATGGCCTTGGGGGTGAAAAGGCGGAGCAGGGGGCGGTGGGAGCTTCCGACACTCCTGCTGTAGTGTCCGGTTTTCAATAATTAGAAAGTTGGCAACATTAATGGTGGATGAATTTGGCTCATTTATTATCAATACTGTTTTTGTTCAATAGACAAAAGTGATTGTGTTGCCTTGTGATTGCCACCTTTCCCGAAGAGACCTATGCTCATATGAATACTGCCAAAGCAAACATAAAGACTGTGGAAGTTGAGTGGGAAAAGTTCCTTCTTAATGATAAAGAATGAGAGCTTCATGCTCTGTGTTGTACGGAACTTTCAAAGGTTGTATGTTGTTTAGGAATGGGGGAAAAAATGAGTTACAAATTTCCATTACACTGTGCATAGTCCTTGTCTGAATGAGCAAACGTAAACATAGGTATCAAATGCACTAAACAGTGAAGCGTAGGTCCTGTTCAAAAGCAAAACAAAATTGTGTGTGTGTGTGTGTGTGTAATTGTATCTTTAATAAGACTAGGGACATGTGAATTAGTATGTATAGAAATATAAATAAATACAATTTGTTTTCTTTGCTTAGTGAAGAGTGCTCAGCAGTGGAGTCTTGAAATAGAGTCTGTTTTTGATGTAGTCAGCTCAAAGCCAGTTGTTGGTCTTGTGACAGTGAACATTCCTAAGTTGCAAACACAGCAAACCTATACTACAGAACTTCCTCCTGGAGAAGGCAGAATTGTGCTGCTCGTAAACATCAATAAGGTGAGGGGGTGAATCCTGAACAGTCCAAGTAACAAAACGTTTCCTTCTGGTTGCTTGAAAGAAAATGCAAGATGTTTCCAGCACAGTTTTAATTTTCCCATTCACTTTCCTCATCTCTGCTGTGTTGACTGTGCCTGACGCCTTTTAGGGCAGGGGAACAGCTCTCTTACCTTCTCACAACTGACTCCTCCATTAGGACACCAAAGAGCAGCGTGGATGGGATACCTGGCATTTCACTCCTAATAAGTGAGAGACAGAGAGAGGTCACATCATCTCTTGCTTTTGTTGGCCGGGAAATCGTTGTGCTGGTGTTAATCCTCAAAACCCTTCTTGCTGTTGGTACATATTGTGCAGATTATCCCACATCTACCTACTGTGGGTTTCTTTCACCTTCCTGTGAAGCATCTGGTACTGACCACTGTCAGACAGGATACTGGACTACATGGATCTCAGGTCTACTCCAGTATGGCAGTTCTGTGATCCTATATGATAGCACTATTTCCTGTCCCAGACCATTGTTTTCTGGGCAGATAGGTACTGTTGTTGTCAGGATGCAATATGTTTGGCCCTTACAGGAGGAGGGAAAAGCATTCCTCATACAAACAGTAATGATACCTTTGTATACCTAAGGGCAAATGAGTCATGTATAGAATTTGGCTAGCCGGGAGGAGGGTGCAAAATTAGTGAAGTTGCACCTCTTTCACTAGTTCTGAATTTAGTCCCTTGAGTTGAGGGATCCTTGAAGACATGTGGAGTGTCAGAGAAATGAAGCACTCCTTAGGAGAGGAGAAACACAACTGAAAATAGATGAATAGGTATACGCCCTAGAGTTAGAATGAACAGAAGCTCTCTCTATCCAACCCTTCTCCCATCCCCCACCTCGCAGTGGGTGAAAGGCTAGCTACTGGCAAGGTTAATTTACATAAATTCTAATTTCACTTCCATGTAGTTCCATAGTGTTTTGTGCTTATGTTTTTAGGAATTCTATTAAATTTGTCCTGTAAATGTAGTTATGAAATTATTAGAGAGACTCTGGAGAAAAGGGTCAGCCTGTGCTGAGAAGTAATGGGCTTGTATTGGGCAATGAGCCCAGAATGAGTAAAATGGAGTAGTGGTTCTTTCCTGCCTTGAGATCTGGACCTAGTGGAGGTGCCTCTACAGAACTGAACTTGACAGCAGCGGACCTGAATCAGGGTCTGGCAGTAGCTGACCAGAGCAGGAGCTGGTGATGCTGACTTTGGAGTGGGGCAAACAAGCTGAGGGGAGCCTCCTCCCATTTGACCACCACTGAGTCTAATTGGATTTGTGGGTGTGGACGCTGTTGAGAACAAGAATCTTGGGCTCCTGACAAACCCAATTAATAACCTCTCAGGCTATGGGGATCTGCCATACCCTTCATACATTTTTCTGGCTTTGTTAATTTAATTTTGCTATGTAATTTAAATGTGTAGATTTTTCCCCCCCTGTTGAAAGGTATTTGGTTTATATTCCCTAGGACTCCTATGTGCTGTGTGTGTGGAGAAGAAACACCTATTAAGGTGAATCTGGGAGTGGAGAGTGGTGTGTGTGGCCAAGGTTGATTCAGATGTCTTCATTATTTTAAAAGGGACTATTATTGACCACTGGCAGATGGCTACATGAAAAAGGACAAATATCAAGGCTCTAGAGGGTTTTGTTTAAAAACAAATATTAGCCTTTAGTGAGCCTTTTTAGTCTGCAATAATACATACAGTGTGATATGAAACTGAACATGATTTTGTGCTTTGGTGTATTCCCCCCTCCTCTGCCCCGGGGAAGAAATTGGTTAATAAAATACAACCATGAGCCCGAGAGTAATTTGTGAGGAAATGGTGCCCTCAGAGCAGAGACAACAATGTGTTGTTGTTCTTCGTACATAAAGGGCTTTTGCTGCATGAATTCACAGCAGCTGATTTTACAAGAGACACAGCAGTGTGCTGTTACATATCTATGAGCCAGACTGAGCCCATACTCTGTGCAACAGATTTGCATGATGTGACAAACAGCAAGACCTGGCAAGAAATGAATTTCTGGTCAATGAGAGCTCACTTCAGATGATGATCTAGGTCCGAGACTGCTCAAGTGGATTGTAACAACCTGAGATGTACAATAATCACCCTGAAATTCACTGCACGGTGTTTTCTTGCTGTTCTGAAATTGCTTGCTTATAGAGGGGTATGGGTATGACATCATTACCAACCAATAAGAAAGCTCCATTTGTGTTTAGCTTTCTAAAGCCACTCCATATTTGATGAGGCATGATCTGATTTTTATGCTTCAGTTTTTATCCCTTGAATTTCCAGATTAGTACTCAGACACTATTGCTTAAGATAATTCCAGATCATGGAAGCTGAAATAAGTGGCTATAGCTGATTATGTCTGGGTATGGCTACAGCAAATCATATTACTGAAGTGTTCTTTGGCCTGGTTTTATGCAAAAAGATCCTGGCACCTCTTGCATTAACATATTCTTTGTTGATCCTTCCTTTGTTTGGTGCACATATTACTGCTTTCTTTCCCCAATTTGTGTACTTAACTGGTGAATGCAGCTCATAGTAAGTTATAGAACTGGGCAGCTATAGTATAGTTATATCTTCATGCCAACAACATATGAAATGGATGCTGTTAACCTTGCTCCATCTCTTTTGGGAAAACAAGATGATACTAAATCACAGGGAGGAAGTTCCTTTTTTTTGTTTCCAGAAATTAAATCAATAAAAACTAATAATATGGAGGAAAAAGTCAAAGGCCTGAAGCCTGAGAAGGGGATGGATCCTTTTCTTTTATTTAAAAGCTCAATTTAACTGAACCAGTGAGTGCAACCAACATTTGACCCGGATTGTACTTGAAGAGGTGGCTACAGGTAAATATTTAGTTTCACACACGATAGATGAGAGGGAAGGTTTTCAAAGGTACAAACGGCAATTAGGTGCCTATCTCCCCTTTCCATTCAGTGGGTATTATCATTATTATTTATTGTTATATTGTTGTTTTATTTATTAATAATGTTTATTACAATAGTGCCTGAGGGCCATCCAAGAATGGGGCCCCCATTGTGCTAGGTGCTGTACAAACACAGAGTAGGAGACAGTCTCTGCACTGAAGAGCTTACAGTTGAAATAGATGAGACAGATACAGGGTGAGGGACGGGGTAGAACACACAAGCAGGTATGGTGTGAGACTGAGGGAGGAAGAAGGTGCGGGTTGAAGCAAACAGCCGATCAGCACAGAGCAGAGAAAGTCCAGTCCAAACTACAAAATTCTTTGACTCTCCAGTAGTCACTGCTCTGACTGCTTCTGCTTTGACCAGCTGGAGTCTTCGACTGGCTCCTCTGCACTTTTCCCCCAAGGCCATGTGTTGGTGGGGGGGCGGGAGGGAGGAAGGGGAGGAACTTCTGGGATTCTAGTGCCCCTGTAACGGGGTGGGTCTCCCCTGTACAGTTCTGGTGCTGTGGGGAGGGGTGGCCCTGGCTGGATCCCATTTTATCCCCTTCCAGCTGGGGCCCAACTGCCATTTATGTGTTTGAAAATCTCCTACTGGATGCACAGTTGTTATTGTGAGAGACATGCCTAACTTCACACAAGCTGTTCTGTCCTTAGCTTCTAATTGTTTTTTGTTTTTGTTTCCTCCCTCCTTAAGAGTGCTACAGTGCAGACTTGGTGGCCTAGTGGCCATGGAAACCAAACTGGATATGACATGACAACAACTTTCAACATGGGGGCAGGATACAAGATTGAGAAATTTTCGAAGGTACATAAATCCTCTCAAGTAATATGGTATGTAGGAAGTTAATGTCAGGAAGCGTCACTGAATAACCCAGTAGCTCTCAAGCAGTATTAGAAAATGTTCTGCTGGATTGTAATTTTTACACAAGACTATTATTTAGAAACAGGATTTTCTGGAGCCCTAGATATAAGGTAACTAACACGCTGTCAGCTTTCACTTGTGCCAAAACCTGCACTTCCAGTCTGACTAGGGACAACTTGCAAACTAATTTGAAATTTAAAAAAGAAAAGGTGTTTTGTTTGTTTTTAAAATTCTCAAACTGAGGGGGAAAAAACCAACCAAACAAACTAAAAGCTCTTTGTTTAAGCATTGTGGGATTTTGCTTGTCATCTTCAGGTGTGATAAATTATATTATGTAATGAACATGAAATTTACCATTGATGGTTTGGTAACACACATTGAAAAAAACTTGTGTATAATTATATTTAATTTGTTTTTAAAAAGAGAAGTGTATTTGGAATTTCAGTGTATAAAACTTTTGGGATGTGCTGTGAGGCACAAATTTGAAGTAACTTCAATTACTAGAGCATACCGGACATGTTGAAAACACACAACTGTATGCGTCCCAGCTTTCAGAGGAAAGCAGTATCACAAATTAGAACGCCTAAGTAGCAATTAGGTACTTTATTTTACCCAATGTAATAGATTCTGTAAAGTACCTGTTTATAGAAGAAAGCTTTTTCATTACTTATTAGGATGTTCAGAAGATTTGGGACATTAAAGAACCACTCACAAATCTTCAACCTATTCAAAAATTTAGATAAAATTAGACTGAGTCCTACATGCTATGAGCTTAAGGAAACTACTAAATAAATCTGTACATTTGCTAGATGATATGTATGTGTTTTGCACCACTGAAAATTAGTCCAGAAGCTATGCTCCTGCAAATGCTGTTCATTGTAGTACTTACTACTGTGAGAAGCCCTGTTGAAGTCACTTCTCATTGTAGTTACCTTCCATCATGACCAGTCCTGCTAAGTGTTAACAGGATTGGGCCCAAAGTTTGTGTTCAGAGTGATGAAGATAATTCATGATCAATATTTTTAGTATAGTTCAAAATACAAGTTTGGTTTTTTTTATGTGCAACAAGATAAACTCAGCATAGAGTTTTGGAAAGTGATTTTAGGTTTAGAAAACCATGGTGTAGGAAATAACATCTATATAATCTTGTGAGCAAGCCACATGGTATTGGGGAAGCAAAGTGATTCCTATTGGGCAGGTGCTCCAGGAGCCCCCACGTTGATGTGTGGCAGAATGGTCACTGGGATTCACAGCAGTACACAGGACATTGTTGCTCCTTTTTAAGAAGCAAAATGCACCTCAGAATACCTGCTGAGGTATGGTCTATAAGCTATGGCCCCTAGCCAGCAGGCCACCCCCACATAGGACCATATTGTACTGGCTCACATGGCAGCTGGTCTTCCTCCCTGTCACTCTGTAAAATCCTGCCCTGCAGCTGCACAAGGAGGAAAGGCTCCATATAATCTCTTCCCATTCTAGCACATCCCAGGAGGATTTGCTCTTATGCCAGCAGGCTGGAATTTCTGCTGAGAAGGAGTAGAATAGTGGTAACATTCATCCAGAGACTCAGGAACTGGGAGTGGTTCTGGAGATTCCAACAGGGACAGATATATTTCTAAAAATCGTTGTGAAGTTTCTAGTTTCATTCCATTGCTGCCCTTGTAAGTGAAATTAAGTTATATAAAGAGAGAGAATTTAAAAATGACTTTTCTGTACCTATTGCACATCCACCTAACTTGGGCAGGGAGAGAGACATACACCCATTCTGAGTAGCGTTACACCACCTTTGCAGCTGCCCAGTGTTAGGGCTGGTGCAATTCCCAGAGTAAGTTAGTGCAGTCTCCAAGGCTGTTCGGTGACTTTCTACAGCCTCCTTCTCCCTCCTTTGATACACCTCTCCTGCCTCTGTCCTGCCCCTACACTGAGGGCAGCATAGGATCATCACACCAATCCTGCTCTGAGGAGAGAACCCCTCTGAGGCAGAGGAATTCCTGGATGATGGGATCTGTCTGCTTTCCAGCCTCTTTAGGCTGTAAGTATGGCATAAACAACTCAGAACATGGCCAAGAACCAGACTCAGAGTCTTATTTTTCCTTTTCTATAATTTAAATTATTTGGGTTGGAAGATTGCAGAATAAAATCCTAGCAAAAGCCAGCATAAAGAGTAAGTGTTTTCTGGAATGCGGGAGTGCCTTTGTCCAGCTCTGTTGGTTATCCATAGCCTCTTTCTCCCCTTCCATGGCTCCATCAAACAACTTCTTGCCATTTTAATTCTCTCTTTAGTGTTATTGAAACCTCTTGCCCTCCCTCCTATTTGTTTATTTTCTGAGATCTTTCTCTTTTCCTCCTGGCACTCATTTCTGCCTCATTATTGGAGCTTTTTATCTCCATCCTGCTGCTGTTTTTAATACTTGGGTTTTTTTAACCACCTGTATTTCCCCCCCACTAGATTTTTAGCATCATTCCAACACATCTTTCCTGTCTGACTCTGTCTAACCCATCTTGGCATTTACACCACAAGCATCATCACAGTATTTTAGTATCTTGTGTTCATTTATTTAGGTATCCTAGCTCTAGCTCTCTCTCCTGATTTTTCAGCTCTGGACCTCTTCCTCTCCCGCTGTATCTTTTTCCCACCTCTAAACGCCCAAATCCAAATCTATTCCACACAAAAAAACATCAACATATCCTGACTTTTTTGGCTCCTCCAGTTGATCGGATTTGCTTGACAAAGACTTGGAATTCTTTAGCTTGTCCCATAATCTGGTTACTGATTGATTTTGATGGTAATGCAAGCTGCAGAGTTGTGTGAGAGAAACTTCTGTTTATCATTTTATATTCAAGAAGCATAGATGTGGGAAACAACAAATTCCAGGAATAGGTAGAATGCGTCAGTCCTAAGGCTAAGTTCCTCATAAAAGGAGAGCCAGAGAGAGAGAGACTGTGATAGTTCTCAAGGGGCCAGACTGTGAATCATCTTGTTACCCCCTTGCCTCCATTGAGAAGCGGACTTGCTTGTGCTTAACTGGGTGTCAGCTCCTTGACACCACCTGTCTTAGCCACCCAAACAATCTCTTCTGGGCAATGCCAGCCCTTCCTTTACCTTGAAAGTTAACAGGTGTTTTCTAGTCCTTGAGCTCCTTTGAAGTGTTCTCCTGTAGAATCCAGGCCCTTTTCCATTGAGCACTCACAGAAATACCAGGTCTGCTGTCCCCAAGGGAACAATATACATACTAGCTTGTATGATTCAACTCAGGATCAGCACCTTGTTTAATACCACAGCACTGAGATATATGCATAGTGGTGACAATCATACATTTATTATTAAAGATTCAAGATTTGAGAGAGAGTGAGTAAGGATAATGGAAACAAAAGGGTCACCTATGAAACAAAATTACAACAGACTAAACTTTAACCGGGTAATCTCCATTCTAAATAAGTTTATATTACTCCAAAATGTCTTCTGCAGTGTTTCAACCAAGGCACTGCCTGTTTACTTCCTAGGTGCAGGATAAAGGGGTGTCTCCTTGCTTTCTACTTCTATCCAAGTTAATTGTCTGTCCTCATGGACAGTAACCCTCCCCTGTCTGCTCTAGTTGCTTGTTTTTTCCCCGTGTCTCTGCTTCATCCCTGTTGATTTCACATCCCTCTGTTGATTTGGTATGTAGATGTGCAGCCATTGTGTTGACTTACAATGCTTAATTTAAATACCAACAGAGAGACAGGTGAAAAAACATCTCTTGTCTGACAGAAAACCTGTTTGTCAACTCTGCCTTGATACAGACGTTACAACACATTTTCAGGCCACATACCTAACTCTTTACATAGTATCTGTTCATACATTTCACAATGATATTAATGACCAGTGTGATCCTGGCTTAAGATCTCACAGGACATTCTTAGGTGAACCAAAATATACATATCAGGTTATTCTTTAACCTTCTTGGCCAGTTGGCATTGAGGGGTTCATGGATCACAGAGATAGATGACCTTCCCCCAAAAACATGCAGATATGGGGCTGACGTGTAATTCAACCAGTGGTGAACTTGGCCTTCTATACAGAGGTGGCTTAAGGCAGAAACTGTGGCTCTGGCCCCTGGTCTTGTAGGGACCCCATGGACTCCTAAAGTTTGGATTCAAGGATACATGAGGTGGGAGCCTGCCACCAGAGTGTGTTAGGAGCAGTGGCAGTAGGGAGCCAAGAGTGCCAGGAACACGTTGGTTTGGTGTGACGTGACCTTTGTATGATTGGGGACTCTTTGATCATACTGGATCTGAGCACCATTTAGCCTTAATCCGTGGCTGCTTCTGTACAGTATTATAATTACTATTCTCTATTATTTGTATTGCTGTAGCGCGCAGGAACCCCAGTCATGGACCAGGAGTATGCTAGGTGCTGTACAAACACAGAACAAAAACTGTCCCTGCCCCAAAGAGCTTACTATTTGTATGCATATGAAACAGTCATTCAGGTTTCTGCCCCATACTGTAATATTTGGGTCAGGCTTCTGCTTCTATTTTTCCTTGTGTACGTTTTGGTCGTTACTTTGACATAGGAGGGATCAATCTGTGACAGATGATCTGTGATCACAAGTTTGGTTTGTCATACACATTGCCTGCTAAAACTAATCATTGCACAACTTGACTCGAGCGCCAAATAGGAACCAAGTAGCGCAAAGTGTGTGTTGTTTCTTTTCTTGCCATATGAAATACTGTTGTTTTTCCCCCCTCAGTATTTGTATGATTGATAAGATTAAAATATTTCACAAAATAAACTATGGGCATTGTCCATGGCCTTTTGAATTCCAGCCTATGCTTGATTTGTGGAATTAAAATGTTTATGCCAGTTGGTAAATGTATCAATTGTATTTATTTGTATTAAGTTGACCCCTACTGCTACATTCCTAGTATACATACTCACCCCAGACGTATGTTCAATTCAATTCTCGAGCCTGATATCTTGAAAATGTTACGGCAAATAATAATTTAATCTTGAGGGAGGTGCAGTTTAGTAATTTAAGGTTAGGCCCAAGAGCTAGGAAATCTCCAAGTTCTGACATAGACTCACTGTTTTGATTTTGTTGGCTGCAGTTCCTCAGTTACTTTTCCCTCACTTCATTTGAATTAATTTCACAATTCTCTGTCTCCTATACTGAGCAATAGGAAGAAACACATGTACTGATACTTGGGTTACATGCACAAAGAGCAAACTGGATATATTCTTTTTAATCTACATGACGTGTATCAGAGTAAGGAAAACAACAAAGAAATAACAAGAATGAAGTATTCCTGAAAGAGAGAGAGTCTCATTCAGTAACATTCTGCAGCTGAACAGGAACCTAAAATGGCAGCTGTCTCCCATCTGCTCCTACTGTGGGTAGGGAGACACCTCTGACCTCTTCATTCAGTCACATAGCTAAGAATATAAGAACGGCCATTCTGGGTCGGACCAAAGGTCCATCTAGCCCAGGATCGTGTCTTCCGACAGTGGCCAATGCCAGGTGCCCCAGAGGGAATGAACAGAACAGGTCATCATCACGTGATCCATCCCCTGTCGCTCATTCCCAGCTTCTGGCAACATAACTATATAACTGCTCACTTCCATATTGCCCCAGAAGTCTTTACTGTACAGTTGTCAGTGCAAACGAAATATTCTTCAGCACAGTGCATATACTTAGCCCAAATAAACAGTCCCCCAAACAGTCCAGCACTCTCCAGTCCTGTTCTTCCACATACAGGAAAAGGATTAAAAAAGCTTGCATAGTTCGGAATGCTCTATCCACAAGCACAGATCTACCAGATGTCAGGATGAAAGGGCAGCTCTAATGGATGTGCAGGCCTCTGCTTGATGAGTAACTCTACATGACCGCAGTCAGGAACAGCCTTGCTTGTAGCTTTATCTAATCTAGCTGTTGTATGTCTGAGCTGGTCACCATGGTATCTTAGTGCTGAACTGCACCTATTCAAATATAACTAAGCTGTCCAAAGGCGCTCCCCTCTCCTTTGGATAGTTGCCATGGGAAAGATGTCATTACTGGGGGAACTGGCTTTAGTAAAGAGATGGGTCTCATATTTTGATCTGAGTGGTCAGGCTTGGGCTTAGTATCATCTTGTCTGGCAAAGAATTCCACAGCTGGGGTTCTGCAATCTCCTTCCATAAGAAGAGAAGGTGTGGATAAAATACAATTAATGTTTAATCTAATGCAGCTTCTGGATTTCTCTCACTGGGCTCAAACAGGACATATGCAAGTCTGCTGCAGCATGTGCAGTCTGCACACATATGCACACGCTCTCTTTCTGTTAATAAGCCAGAAACTTCTGGCAATTTTCTATTTCAAGCTCCTCTTAAAATGAAAGTAAGTTGATATTGTGCATAGATGGTTTAGCAAAAAGTGCACAATGGTTTCATTTGAAAGCCCTATACTATTATACTTTACCTATTTTAGAAATGGCTCAATAGTGTACTAACAAATGAAAGATGTAACTAACAATTCCTGAAGGTGAAGGTTTAGGTTTTTAGATTGCTTTTTTTTATATTTTTCATGTCTCTGATTGCTCTAAAAATGCACAAATTTCAATTCTCCACAGGCTTATTTTCGAACAGTGGAACTGGTTGAGGAGCCTATACCTGGTTCACCAGGCCTGAGTTTCTACTTCAGGATCAACGGACTCCCTGTCTTCTTTAAGGGATCCAACTGGATTCCAGCAGATGCCTTCCAGGACAGAGTTTCCTCTGATATGTAAGTCATAATCAGTATTCTTTAGATATTGAATACAAAGGGACAGATTCTGCCTCTCCTTATTCATGGTGACTAGCACTCACTCTATGAGCAGTCCCATTGACATCAACAGTGGAACTATCTTCAGTGTAGAGTGCTATTCAGTGTGAGCAAGGGGAGTAAAGATCAGGTCAATAAAGGGGAAGAGATTTGGCTCTTGCACGAAGGTAGTGTTCTGATGTTGTTGTTGATGGATGAGTTCAGGGAGCCTGGGTGATATTGGTAATCCTCAGAGAGCCTGATTCTGCTACCCTCAGATTGTTAGCAGTGGGACTAGGGTAAGGTGTCTACTCAGAATGACCTGAGGTTGGCAGAATTGATCCAATATGATTTTAAAATGTCATTTAGGATGCTGTAATGCATCTGTTGTTTTTCGCAACATGCATTGTAGAATGTATGAGAGAAAAAAGACTCCTAGATATGTTTCAGAAATGGTTGGAAATGATTAAAATTCAAGGTAATATGTATATAAAACAGGGTAAAATCTAAAGGGAAAAGACTATAACAAATCAAAGTAGCTACTTGGATAAATATAGTGTTTGTTTAAATTTTTTTTTAATAAAACATTTTTTGAAGGGTGTTTGACTCTTTCTGGGATAGAACATTAAGATCCAATCCTGCAAACGCTTGTTACTGAGTGTAGTGCCTACTACCACGAGTAGTCCCACTGGTCTGTTTGGTGAGTGTTAGCAGGATTGAGCCCTTTTATTTGCAAGAATGTAGCTTTGGGAGTGCAGTGAACATTTATACAGATTTCTAGGGTGTCAGAAGGGTGTTTCTGTCAAAGTTACTAGTCTTGGCCTGTCTGCTAATGATATACATAAATTGGACATATGTAGAAAAAGGATACAAGCATGTGTAGTTTTCTCCTGGATATCGAGTTTGGGGGGGGGGGGGTGTAATTTCGTACAACTGTTAGCTTTCCTGATTTAATTCTCTTTGTATTGAACAGGTTAAAGCTCATCTTGCAGTCCACAGTTGATGCTAACATGAATGCGCTTCGTGTATGGGGAGGAGGAGTATATGAGCAAGATGAATTCTATGATATCTGCGATGAACTAGGAATAATGGTAAAACATAAACAGGACAGCTCAGCTCCTGTATTCCAAATTGACAAGAAAATAACAAATAGAAAATACTGGTGTATGAATGAGGCAGCTGAGTTAATACTGGTACAGGAATCTGGGCTAAATTTTCAAAAGGAACCTAGTGATTTCTGGATACCCAACTTGAAACAATATAGAGGCCTCATTTTCATAAGACAAGTGCTCTGAAAATCAGGGTCCTTTAAGGTCTTGCAAGTTGGGTACCCAAAAGTTAAAAACTTACCCTGTTAACATTTGAATTTCCTTTTGCATGTGTGCACAGGTGCTCTCTAACGTCTCGACCTTAACATTAAATGTATCTTATAATATATGGAGATATACCTATCTCCTAGAGCTGGAAGGGACCTTGAAAGGCCATTGAGTCCAGCCCCCTGCCTTCACTAGCAGGACCAAGTACTGATTTTGCCCCAGATTCTTAAGTGGCCCCCTCAAGGATTGAACTCACAACCCTGGGTTTAGCAGGCCAATGCTCAAACCACGGAGCTATCCCTTGCATGTTGTTCTTTAGTTTCTCATGTTTGTTTGTTTAAAGAAAATAGTGGAGAGGAAAAAAATGAGGGGAAGGTCATAGGCCATGCGCAATAAGTGTCTGCTTCTAGGTACAGCACCTTCCTAAAAGTTATCCTGCCTTAGGCCATGGGCAGAATGTAACTGCTGTTGTTATGCACCAAAAAGGTGTATAACAACAGCACAGTTGCAAGCGTAACAACTGTCACCTTGCCTGTTAGCAGGAATTGAATTTAAGACCTCCAGAGCTGAAAGCATGACCTGCTCGAGCATGAGCATGAGCCTGTGGTGAAGCTCAGAGCTGTCACAAAACTCCCCCGACAACACCTAACCAAAACAAAGCGCTGCACTGCTCGCGCAATTCTTTCTCCAGAGAGAAGATGAGAGATAGAAAGAACCGCATGTGACAGACATTAGTCATGTTGATTAATGCACTGCTGGAAGATGCTCAAATACTATAGTGATGAGTGCCTTAAAAGAAGCTATATCCAATAGAATTCTCTGTGGATTGGGCACAAAGGATGACTTGTAACATTCATGAAACAGTGGGCTACACAAACACATGATTTAAAATATTTATAACTAAAAGTGTTCACCTTTTCCCCACTCAAATGTGGCTTACCTTGGCTTTTTTTTGTTCTGCATGGAGATTGTGGGACCTTTTACTCATTCTGATTACTTACTCCTGTGAGATTAGCACCGCCAAAACCTGTGGGAGTACACGAATAAATTCTCAACAGTGTGAGTACTGCCTGCACAATCAGTGAGAATTAACTACCCTGATTATAGTTCCAGCTATTTTTGAATAATCCCATCAACAATTAAGGTAGTTGCGCTTTCCCTTCTGTAAAAATTTTTATTTCTGTTTAAAAAATAAAGTCCTCTTAACCTCAAAACAGCTGAAGAGATTTAATTCAAACTTTCCAAAAACTTTCAACTTTGGCCTGAGACCAAGCATGGAAAATTTCAGCCCCAAAGGAATATTTTGGGGAAAGCTGTAAATGAGTGTAAACGTGACTGTAGTGGGAACTCCTGCTGCAAACGCTGTGGTGGAACTAGATAGATAGCTCTGACTTACAAGACTGTAAATACATATCAGTGGTTTTTGATGACACTGAGTATGTGAGTGAAGCTTGAGTTGTGCTTGTTGTTAGAATCTTGAGAAGTGTGCCTACATCTACCATTCAGCATAACACACATGAAAACGGAACACACTGATTTTTGCAAGAGAAATGTTACATTAGCATTGTATATGAAAGGGTCTTCTTCCCTCTGTTTGTTTATATGTCCATGCATAGACATTCTCTCTGAGATTTGCCTATACAAGAGAGAAAATTCTTAGATATTCCTTATACTGAGACCAAATTATTGGAACTTGGTGCCTAAAACTGGGCACTTAAATCTATTTTGGTCACCTAAACAAGGGCCCGGATTTTCAGTGCTTCTGAACACCTACAGTTCTCTTTGATTTGTAGGTACTTTAACCTAAATAGGCCATTTAGCTCCATGCCCAGGCAGAACTCACTGCAAGGTCAGGGCTTATTTAGTAACCTAAATATTGATGTAGGTACCTAAAATTTGGCCCCCATTCTGGAAAAAAATTGAACTTCGATTTTAAAGAGAGGCTTCTATGAAAATCAACCAAGAAATTTTTTAATATTAATGATTTTGAATATTCTACTTAACTTGCTTCTCTTGCTATCTTATAAAGAGTTGGAAAATGATTCAAAGTTAAGTCATGTAATGGGATAATATCTCAGAAAAAAGAAGTAACAATTCACTGGAGCTAGTATGCTAAATACTGTTAGATACTTTTGAGACATGCCTTTATAAAAGGGTGTTTGTCTCTACACAATCTCCGATGGAGCCTGCACAGGTTTGTATTTTTTATAAGGCCTGATTGTGCACTGATTTTTGCACTTTTTTCCATTGTAAAACTTCTGTGATTTTGCATTTTATTAACGGATTTTTTAAAAATTGTTTCAGATCTTTTAGGAAAGACCCACTGAATCATTCGTGGAAGGGCATCCTCTCACTGCAGGAAGTGCTTAGCTGGCTCTCAGCTTTCTGCCTGCTTGTCTGGAAAGATGTGACCCCATAGAATCATAGAATCTCAGGAGGTCATCTAGTCCAACCCCCTGCTCAAAGCAGGACCAATTCCCAACTAAATCATCCCAGCCAGGGCTTTGTCAAGCCTGACCTTAAAAACCTCTAAGGAAGGAGATTCTACCACCTCCCTAGGTAACCCATTCCAGTGCTTCACCACCCTCCTAGTGAAAAAGTTTTTCCTAATATCCAACCTAAACCTCCCCCACTGCAACTTGAGACCATTACTCCTTGTTCTGTCATCTGGTACCACTGAGAACAGTCTAGATCCATCCTCTTTGGAACCCCCTTTCAGGTAATTGAAAGAAGCTATCAAATCCCCCCTGATTCTTCTCTTCTGCAGACTAAACAATCCCAGTTCCCTCAGCCTCTCCTCATAAGTCATGTGCTCCAGCCCCCTAATCATTTTTGTTGCCCTCCACTGGGCTCTCTCCAATTTTTCCACATCCTTCTTGTAGTGTGGGGCCCAAAACTGGACACAGTACTCCAGATGAGGCCTCACCAATGTCGAATAGAGGGGAATGATCACATCCCTCGATCTGCTGGTAATGCCCCTACTTTATACAGCCCAAAATGCTGTTAGCCTTCTTGGCAACAAGGGTACACTGTTGACTCATATCCAGTTTCTCGTCCACTATAACCCCTAGGTCCTTTTCTGCAGAACTGCTTCCTAGCCATTTGTTCCCTAGCCTGTAACAGTGAATGGAATTCTTCCGTCCTAAGTGCAGGACTCTGCACTTGTCCTTGTTGAACCTCATCAGGTTACTTTTGGCCCAATCCTCTAATTTGTCTAGGTCCCTCTGTATCCTATCCCTACCTTCCAGCGTACCTACCGCTCCTCCCAGTTTAGTGTCATCTGAAAACTTGCTGAGAGTGCAGTCCATGCCATCCTCCAGATCATGAATGAAGATATTGAACAAAACCAGCCCCAGGACCGACCCTTGGAGCACTCCGTTTGAAACCGGCTGCCAACTAGACATGGAGCCATTGATCACTACCCGTTGAGCCCGACGATCTAGCCAGCTTTCTATCCACCTGATAGTCCATTCATCCAACCCATACTTATTTAACTTGCTGGCAAGAATACTGTGGGAGACCGTATCAAAAGCTTTGCTAAAGTCAAGGAATAACACATCTACTGCTTTCCCCTCATCCACAGACCCAGTTATCTCCTCATAGAAGGCAATTAGGTTAGTCAGGCATGACTTGCCCTGGGTGAATCCATGCTGACTGATCACTTTCCTCTCCTCTAAGTGCTTCAGAATTGATTCCTGGAGGACCTGCTCCATGATTTTTCCAGAGACTGAGGTGAGGCTGACTGGCCTGTAGTTCCACGGATCCTCCTCCTTCCCTTTTTTAAAGATGGGCACTACATTAGCCTTTTTCCAGTCATCCGGGACCTCCCCTGATTGCCATGATTTTTCAAAGATAATGGCCAATGGCTCTGCAATCACATCCACCAACTCCTTTAGCACCCTCAGCTGCAGCGCATCCAGCCCCATGGACTTGTGCTCGTCCAGTTTTTCTAAATAATCTCGAACCACTTCTTTCTCCACAGAGGGCTGGTTGCCTCCTCCCCATGCTGTGCTGCCCAGTGCAGCAGACTGGGAGCTGACCTTGTTTGTGAAGACAGAGGCAAAAAAAGCATTGAGTACATTAGCTTTTTCCACATCCTCTGTCACTAGGTTGCCTCCCTCATTCAGTAAGGGGCCCACACTTTCCTTGACCACCTTTTTGTTGCTAACATACCTGAAGAAACCCTTCTTGTTACTCTTAACATCTCTTGCTAGCTGCAACTCCAAGTGTGATTTGGCCTTCCTGATTTCACTCCTGCATGCCTGAGCAATATTTTTATACTCCTCCCTGGTCATTTGTCCAATCTTCCACTTCTTGTAAGCTTCTTTTTTGCTTAAGATGCTTTTTTGTTTAAGATCAGCAAGGATTTCACTGTTAAGCCAGGCTAGTCGCCTGCCATATTTGCTATTCTTTCTACATATCGGAATGGTTTTTTCCTGCAACTTCAATAAGGATTCTTTAAAATACAGCCAGCTCTCCTGGATTCCCATGTATGGAGCAAGACTTTTCCAGCAGTGATGTTTCTGTGACAACATTCTTCAGCATGTCTTTCCTTTAGCACCCTGAAAATGAAAATACAGGATCTATTAGGAATCTCAAAATCATGGAAACTTTAAAAGGAAAATGGGTAGAAATGAATATCGTACTCATCAGACCGAAATATGTTCAGTTTTTTTAGAACTCCTTTTTTTGAGACACTAATGAAATAGCTTATTTGGGACAGGAGACTATGAAATTACAGGTTATTAATTCAATCAGTGTGTAATTGATATTGGTTCATTTTCATTTTTGCTGATAATCATTAAAATGATGTTAAAATACTTTAGGGAGTCTCTTATTTTTTTTAGTTGTCATGGAGATAGCTGCAGGCTGTAAACATCAAGGAGGGAGAGAAATTGTCTCGGGTAGCCCAATAAAGGTAGAATTCAATGTATTAAAAATAAGCAAAGAAAAACTTAGTTTGAACATCAGGAAAGTATTTCTGATTATGGTATCTGTGGAGTAGATTGTCAAGGAAAAGTAGTGAGTTGAGTCAGTTGAAACTGGACTGAACAGAACATTATAAAATATATTGTATGGAATAATCTTGCACTGGTTGTGAGGGAATATAGATAGATTGCGTGACTTAAAGGCTTTTCTCAACTTTTTGTCATCGACCTTAGAGGTTTCTTGCAAGATATATCTATTTACCCAGGCTTTCTCTGAAGAGATACATTGAGTTGTGGGAGGGCCTGGGTTTTCCCCCCCTCTGATGGATGAGGGATATCATTTTTTTTCTCTCAGTGTTAATTTAGGTTATGTGTTGCATTGGGAAGCATGCCTGGAGTGTTACAGTAGCTGTACTTTAAATCATAAAAAAATTCAATAAACACATCAATGTAATGACTTTCTTCTGCTAATAGGCAATGGGGACTTGTTGCTCTACTCATGAGTGTATGCAAAACACACCGTAAAAGCCATAAGAACTCTGTTCACTAATGGACAGAGTCTTCCACCTTTACTCATATTGAGTAGTATATTGCTTCCATGTATTCTTATTGAAAGCAATGGAGCTACTTGCAAACCATGAGTAAGGTGGAAGAATCTGGCTCATAATGAAGAAGAAATGGCTTAAAACACTCAAATTGAGGAAATTAACTCTGGGGGTGTATGTGCACGTGAAAGTTGAGCTCATCTGGGGCGTAGCTGTTTTGGTGACACCTCTGGTATTCATGTACAGTGAGTAAGTTAAAAAATTCTACCTCGTCTGCTGTTTAAGACAAATAATTCCATCTGAACCAAAGTGCATGTGAGCTGAAAATCATTTATTGTGTAAGTGTAGAAAAATATTTGCTGACAGGTTTTGTATTTCCTTTTTCTTGATCTATAGATTTGGCAGGATTTTATGTTTGCATGTGCCCTTTACCCAACTGACCAGAACTACTTAGAATCAGTAAGAGCAGAAGTTACTCATCAGGTATGTTGTTCAATAGTGTCAAGGACCCGTATTTCCATATGCTTGTATTGACTAACTGTGTAGTTCTGTTTAGTTTCTGTTACTCATTGTCTGACATGAGTTTCTTTAAAGACTGCAGTCTATTGTGCACTCAAGTAACAAACACACATACAAGCAAGAAAATGGAATGAGGCCTGTAGAGAAGCAAGGCAGAACATGGTGGGCAGAGGAATGTCGAGGTCATCTTTGGGGTAACATGGGGTCCCCCATCCTGTCTTCCTACTCCACATCTCGCATCTACTTGTACATGTTTTAGGAGAAGAGAAGATTATATATTTTGCAGGCCTGGGCCATGTATCATTTCATTATTAATTTTTTTAATTTATTTTTCTGGCCAGGCAGGAAAGTTGTTTTTTCGTGGGTTGAAAAAAGTGTTATCTTATATGCGTTGTGGAAAAGTAAAGATGAAAACACTAAATATTTTGTTCTTTTATAGTCTACCAAAAATGTGAATTTCCAGTAGTTTCAAAGATGTGCAAATTTAGGACTTGGTTCTACAAACTCATGAGTAACTTTATTCATGTGAGTATTCCCACTGAAGTCTGTATGATTACTCATGGAGTAAAGTTACTGACATGTCTATTTTCAGCATTGGTTCCTTATTCCCCTGGCTGCAATAGTACTGTATCCTTTGGAATCTTTCATATTTCTTGTCATTGAGATCACTTCAGCAGGTGCAGAAACCAGCCAGTATTGTTTAAAGTCTTTGCAACTTGCATAAACATTACAAGGTATCCTGTTAAAGGGAAGTAATTGAATTTTAATTTTGAAACCGTGATTTCTATTTCAGGTGAAGAGATTAAAATCTCACCCATGCATCATTTTATGGAGTGGAAACAATGAAAATGAGGCAGCAATTGCAGGCAACTGGTTCTCTATACCACACGATAAGATGGAAGTTTATATCCTAGACTATGTGAAACTTTATGTGAAGAACATCCAAGAAATTGTTATTGCTGTAAGTGAAATTTTCAGGGCCATAGCCCCGGCCCCCAAATTGTCTTGCAAAGGGTTTTAAACTCTGCAATTTGGGCAAAATTTCCTTGAGTTGTTTAGGGGAACAGATTTACAGAAGCTGTATGGACATGCTGACAACAATACATAAAAGCCAGGGTGAAGGCTGCTGTGATGGTGTTTTACAGATTCTCATTGCAGTTTTTGCAGCTTTTCTCCTTGTTCTGGAAGTTTTAGAGCGTCGCTTGATGTCGTACATTGGTATCTGCTCGTAATGAAGTTATTTACAGAGAAATTCTGCTTAGAATGGAGTGGATTGAAAATCCCAAATTGCTGGACTTTCACTTCTTGTGGGTTATGTATAGACACAGAATCAGGGCCGGTTCTACTGTTTTTGCCGCCCCAAGCAGCGCGCCGAATTGCTGCCGCAGACGGAGGGGGCAGTCTGTGTGCCCTTAGGGCGGCATGCGCGTTTCCGTGTCGGCGGCAACTTCTGTCTTCAGCCGGAAGACAAAAGCTGCTGAATTGCCACTGTGGGCAGCTGAACATAGAAGCTGCCGCCAAATTGCCGCCGACACGGAAACACACGTGCCGCCCTAACAGCACACGGACTGCCCCCGCCATCCGCGGTGGCAATTCGGTGCACTGCTTGGGGTGGCAAAAACACACGGACTGCTGCCCCTTGCAGATTGCTGCCCCAAGCACCTGCTTGGAATGCTGGTGCCTGGCGCTGGCCCTGCACTGAATGCAAAAATGAGACTTGTCATTTGCCACCAGTGCCCACTGATGCAGCTCCACTGACTATGGTAGGAACATAAAGCAGGTTTAGAGGACATGCTGGTAAAATGGCCTGCAGCCCATGTACAGTCCTTCTGGCACCAATAGAGTTACATGTGATGCAAGACTTGCCTAAAATTCTCAGTGTGGATGCAACAGTAATGAAACTCACTCCATTTTAATCAGGTTCCACTGCAGTAATTCCAGATTAAATGCTGCATTCCAAAGGGATGATTAAATCCTACTTTACCTTTGTTTTGGCTGATCAGAGGATGAGGGAGAAGACTGATGAAAAAGAACCTGTTAGAGGGATAAGGATGAGTATAAGAATTCCTCTCTCCCAGTCTTGCTGCAGCAACTCTCAGTAGGAGATGAAGTCAAGCTGGTTTACCTATTCCCTTCTTGGAATGAAGGCATGGCCTTCCAGAGAAGTCCCCTCAACATCTGGCAGTGCCCCCTACAATTGCAGGGATCGGAGGGAACTTGCCACCACTTGTGGTGAAGAGCTCTCTCTCTTCTTGCAATGAAACTCCACTGTTTTTTGACTTTAGAGAGAAAGTAGACTGAAAGTTGCCTCTGTGACACCGATAAAGAATAAGTTGCTCTACATGGCATTTCATTCCTGAATAGCTATGCAGAGAGTAATGTCTGAACCACAGATGAATGCTTTGATCTCTCTAGTTAGCTAAAATATACAATATGCAGTACAGAGATATGCAAAGTGAAACTGACATTCTGCCAGTTAAAACATTTCTCTTCTACCAAGAAATATGAATTTTCTACCCTGCAGTAGCAACCCCCTTATCCCTGTTGCTTCATGGTTCACAGGGTACTTTAGAGTACGATGATGTTGGACTAAACTGGTTTTACTGGCTATGCTGAAATTACAGTAGATGCATACCACCACGAATTTACATGCATCAACCCAAGATTTTCAAAGTGTAATCTAAAAACAATATAGATGTTGTCATTAGTGATTGCATGCTT